CTCATCATTAACTAGGGAGAATATTAAGCAGTAACTATCAAACATATTTATAAATCTGAAGAAGATTGTTCTTTGTACCAAAGAGTTTTAGAGGAATTGGCTAGGGAGTACTCTTAAGTAGTGACTTTGTTTTTAGTTTTTTTCAACAAATGTTGGAATACTGGGAAAGTTCCAGGGAACTAAAGAAGAGCTAATATTGGTATTATACTATTTTAAAAGTGTAAATGGAGTGACCCACTTAATTATAGGCCGGTTAGCCTGACATCAATTGCAGGAAAAAGCATGGAAAGGCTAATGTGGGACTCAGTCTGTACTGAATTAAAAGATGTTAGCATAATTCATGCCAATCAGTATGGTTTTACAGAGAATAGATCTTGTCAAATAAACTTTCTCATTTTGAGTGAGATTACAAATGTGGTTGATAAAATAACTGTGTTGTAATAATACTTATTCCTCTAAGGTATTTGACTTGGTACTGCATGACAGTCTCATTAAAAATATCACTGTAAAAAGTCAGTATTGTATTTATTCTATTGATTTAAACTGGCAAATTGATGGATCTCAAAAATAAAATCATCACCCAGTTGAGATGTCTTTAATGGGGGCCCACTGGGATCTTTTCTTGGCTCTATGCTATTCAATATCTTTATCAATAATTTAGAAGAAAATATATGATCAATAAGATTTTCAGATAACATAAACATTGGTGGCCTGATAAACAATCATGTGAGTAGGTCAGTTATACAGAGTAATTTCGATCACTTGTTAAATTATGCTCCTTTGAGCTAAATTTTTTTCTAATACAGCCAAATACAAAATCATAATATAAAGGAAAATACGGTAGCTCCCATTCACAGGATGGAGGACACTATCATAGAAAGAAGTGACACTGAAAAAAACATAGGGGACATGGCAGATAACCATCTGAACATGAACTCCCAATGTAAATTACTGTGACTTAGACAGCTAGTGCGATTTTTGTGTTTATATGAATAGGAATATCAAATAGGAATATAGAGGTGTTATCAGTTCATCACTGCATGCTGGTGAGACTGGAATGCTTTGTCCAGTTCTAGTGTTCATATTTCCCAAATGATGCTAAAAACCTGGAAAATGGTCAGATAAGAGTTTCAAGAATGACTTGATATCTTGAAAAAAATTGCCATATAGTAAGAGATGTAAAAGGACTGAGATTCTTAGCTTATGGAAGACAACGTTAACAGAGGAGATGGTCATGTTCTCTAAGAACATACATGAAGATAAGATTGCTAACAACAGAGTGGGGTTTTTAGCAGACAGATAAGCAACAAGATTCACTGGCTGGCAGGCCAAACCAAACACATTCAGGCTAAACCTACGGCATGAATTTTCAACAGCAAAGATAATAAATAAAGCAGGTCAGAATTTTTTCTCAGAGGTGTCAAAATAGGATTTGTTTCAAAAGGCTGTTTGAATTAAGCTGAATTTGGGGAGGAGGTTGTATACATTCGAACAACAATTTTCATGGGAAAATCTCTTGTTTAGGAAAATTACTGTTTCAATAAAAGTTGCTTCTAATGTTATTTATTCATAGGGGCTTTTGTTTTTATATCATGTTTATGTTTTGTACATTTTTCCAGGCATTTTAATACACTCTGCTATTCCTGACACATCGTAGTATAACACATAAAAATCTTTAAAACAATCTATTTTTATTTTATTTTTAAACCATTAAGAAAAGCTGCTACTTAGCACTGATTGAAACATCTTATCTTCTTTTCCAGATCAAAGTGTCAAACTGTTTCATTACAACAAAAATGAGACACTTTGATCTAGGAAAGGAGATAAGATGTTTTAATCAGTACTAAGTAGCAGCTGCTCTTAATGGTTATATAACTAAAATGAAATAAACATGGAGTATTTTAAGTTTATGTTATATTAGGATGTCAGTAATGGCAGTGAGCTGTTACTAGAGTACTGATTCTCAACCAGGGTGCAACAAGAGCCTTTCAAGGTACTGTGCCATATTAGTACTGTTGCTGTGCAAACACCTACACATAATTCACAAGATAAATCCAGAGATGTCAAATAGGAATCTATACTATTAAAAGCATTCTGATCTGTTGTGGTCTTTCTAAGTTCTTTGCCACAGAAGACTAGAGACATGTCATGAAATAATGTAACCATAATAAAAAAAAAAGGAAAAAAAAAGAAAGTTGGCAAACAACATTTCAAAATTCCATCACAAACATTTCCCAAAATTAAAATTTTAAACTGATTCAGTTTCTTGGGATATGTCTGTAGTAGTTCTTTTCATTTCTGATCAAAATGAAAGTATGTTTCTAATGGCAACAATACTTACTAAGGGGAAATTCTGAGTTTTGACCAGTTCTAGTAACTAGCTGCGTCTACATGAGACATTTACTGCAGTTGGCTAATTAGCTTCACAGTAAAATGTCAGTGTCTACATGTGTGGCCCTATTAGGCCGCAGTAAACTCATAAATGCTGCCGTATGATAGTACTGCAGAGCACAAGTACTATCCTACAGCAGAATTATATAGTGCACCTCAATGCACTTGTAGATGCTGATGGGGCTGGCTGGTGCATGAGGGTGCTTCAGTGTGAGGGCTGCCTGCCAGCTAGCCCTGCACTGAAGCATCCTTGTGCCACAGCCAGCCCCTCCACACTGAGCTGGGTCAGAGTAGCCCCAGGCTGGCAGGCTGACTCCTGGGCCCCTGCCAGCCAAGGCTGCTCTACCCCAGCTCAACATTCTGTGGTCCCTGGCACACATGTAAATGGCATGCCCCAAAGCAATAAACTAGTGCAAACTGCACTGGAGTTTATTCGGTCAAATTAATTTAATGTGTAGACGCACCCACTAACTACTGGGACAGCTCAACCAGGCAGGTGAAAGATTACCTTCCACTTCAGTCTTCAAGCCAAGATTGAATGTCTTTCATAGAAATCATAGAAAATTAGGGTTGGAAGGGACCTCAGGAGGGTGTCTAATCCAAACCCCTGCTCAAAGCAGGCCCATTGCCAATTAGATCATCCCAACCAAAGCTTTGTCTAGCCAGGTCTTGAAAACCTCCAAGGACAGTGGTTCCTCCACCTCTGTGAGTAACCTGTTCCAATGTTTTACTACCCTCCTAGTGAGAAACTTCTTCCTAATATCTAACCTAAACTTCCCTTGCTCCAAGTTGAGACTGTTGCTCCTTGTTCTGTCATCTCCCATCACTGAGAACAGTCTAGCTCCATCCTCTTTGGCATCCCCTGTCTCAGTCTCCTCTTCTCTAGACTAAATAAGCCCAGTTCTTTCAGCCTTTCCTCATCAGTCATGTCTCCCAGCCCCCTCACCATTTTTGTTGCCCTCTGCTGGACTCTCTCCAATTTGTCCACATCCTTTCTGTAGTGGGGGGCCCAAAACTGAACACAGTACTCCAGATGTGGCCTCACCAGTGCTGAACAGTGACATGCTCTAGGTAAACCAGGAGATATGGACTTGATGTGGAAATGACTGTCCTTGAAGCTGGATCAGGGAGTCCCACGACATCAAGCCAATAGAGAGGGCTCTCTAGTGAAAGCCAAGAGAGACAGGGCCATCATCATCCTGGGAGCCCCAAGAAATAAACAGAGCCAGGAGCTATCCCCTAAGGCAGGGATGGATTCAGAGACATAACTGGCCAGTACTGCACCCTGGCCAAGAGCAGCAGGCTCACTGCAGCCAAAGGTTCACTGCTGTAGGGGGAGATATCACCTTCTTTTTTTGCTTCTGACACATGTACCAAGCAGCTACTGAAATGCTGAGTTTCAGCAGCAAAAAAGGAAGTGACATATCACCCTTGCAGCAGCAAATCTCTGGCTGCTGTTCCTGCACTGTTCATTGCCACTGCTGCTCTGCCCTCCCCACTGCCAGACCCACTGCAACAAAGATGCAAGGTGCAGGGGCGAGGAGGGGAAGGTAACCCCCCCAGATCTATTCTGACACCCTCCCCCGTCCTTACACAGTGCCCAGGGCTCATGTCCCACTCACCCACCCATCGTTATGCTACCAGATGGATTAATAGTGTGCAGCTTCTGAATTTACCACACCTCTGCCTCTGAATAACTGCCATCCTTCAGTTCCCCATACATCAAGAAGCAGGTGCCACTTATACCAGCTGAGAGGGAGTTACAGAACTCCTATCACTTTCCTGCTCACCCTTTAATGACCCCAGAGACTCAGATGGGCAGTGAGAACCTGGGGCATATCTCCTGTGCCTTGGTTCTGCTCCCACAGAAGTGACTGGATGGCAGCAGTCCTTTGTTGAGAGTCCCAAAACCCCTGCTGCTCAATGATGCAATGTGCTATCTGAGCAAAGTCCAGGCACAGAGTTGGTGGTAGGTAATCCCTAGAAAGGTGAAACTGTGCTAGTTAGCAAAGGAAAACAGAGTTTACAGGCATGGAGCAACTGGTGATGTGAGGTGCACACCCACAGAAGCAAAGCCGGTCCACAAGGGGTCTGGGCACCTTATCCATTCTCAAACGTAATTTTAAATTGAGGAAAATTAACATTACACAGACATTCCAATAATAACTCAAACCTTGAGTCCCCAAAACATAGGTACCATGAACCATAGTATTTTACTTCCAGATATGCATCAGAGACTAATAAAAAAACCCAAATAGTTAGCTTCAGCATATAAATCATTACTGTAACTTCAGTAACTTTGACTTGTCTTTAGTTAACCCTCAGGTCAGGCAAAGCTGCCCCCACTCACATTAAAGAAGACCCATAGAAGCCTAAGGAACTATTTGAAGAGTAAATTACTACTCATTGTAAGAGTATCACCCTATGCAAACAACCCCTTTCAGAGGCTACTGAATTTACCTATTCTAGCTGCAAACTATTAACATTTTAATGATGGCAGTATTGCCAGCCCAAGTGTTCAACAACCATGAGTCAGATCCCCCAAATCAGGAGACTGACTTAAAAATAATGTGTTTCTAAATAAAACATATTGAATTCTTTGTAATTACCTTGGGGTTTTGACATCACTGAGGTGTACTGAGGTCATGTTCTCATCTGCAGCCAGTGAGGTCCAGGCTTATCTAAAAATCAAAGTAAGATTCTCCAGTCATCACTTGATCTCTGCCACTGGATCTTTATGGAAAAAAACAGAAAATACCATGAAACTTCTGATAGAAATGCTGAAATCTGGCAAAAATCTTACATAAAAAACACCATTTTTAATGTAATAATGACATGTCATAGTTTCATAGTTTCATAGGGTCAGAAGGGACCTGAGGAGATCATCTAGTCCGACCCCCTGCCATGGCAGGAAAGAGTACCGGGGTCAAACGACCCCGGCCAGATGTTCGTCCAGCCTCCTTTTAAAGCCCCCCAGGGTAGGAGCCAGCACCACTTCTTTTGGAAGTTGGTTCCAGGTCCTAGCCGCCCTGACAAGTGAAATAGCACCTCCTAATGTCTAGCCTGAAACTACCCTCTGCTAGCTTGTGTCCATTGTTTCTTGTAACTCCTGGGATTGCTCGGGGGAACAGGGACTCTCCCAATGCCTGCTGGTCCCCCTTGACTAGTTTGCAGACTGCCACTAGATCCTCTCTCAGCCTTCTCTTTTGGAGGCTGAACAGGTTCAGGTCTCTCAGCCTCTCCTCGTAGGGCCTGCCCTGCTGACCCCTGATCATGCGGGTGGCCCTCCTTTGGACCCTCTCCATATCGGCCACATCCCTCCTGAAGTGTGGTGCTCAGAACTGGACGCAGTACTCCAGCTGTGGCCTGACCAGTGTCCCATAGAGGGGGAGGATCACCTCCTTGGACCTGCCTGAGGTGCATCTGTGGATGCACGACAAGGTATGGTTGGCCTTCCTGACCATGTCCCTACTTTGTCGGCCCATGTTCATTGTGGCATCAGTGATGACTCCAAGATCCTTTTCTGTCTCGACACTGGCGAGAAGGGAGTTCCCCAGCCTGTAGGTGTGCCGCTGGTTCTTCCTCCCCAGGTGCATTACCCTGCACTTGTCAGTATTGAACCCCACCCTGTTCTCATCGGCCCACCCCTGTAACCTATCTAGATCCGCTTGTAGCCTGTTCCTTCCTACTAGCATACCCACTTCACCCCAAATCTTAGTGTCATCTGCGATATATCTGTCATCAAGATATATATTTTTAAATTATACTTTTAAACAGGTTACCAATTGTTCTCCTATAGCCCTGATCCAGCAACTATTTATACGGAGATATTCACATACGGAAAATATGCACATATGTGTTTGCAGAGTTGGGGGTCTACATTTTGCAATCAAAAAGAAATGAGAAAAAAAAGCTGGGCCAAACTGAATGTTGTTATTGAACTGTCAACAGTAATTTCTACATTTACAATTTTGGTAAAAATGAATGAAAGGATAATCAAACCCATATGTATATTAATCGATTGTTTCCATAACTATAACATGATTGAATGCTTTTTAAACTAATGAACATTTTGGTATTTATTATGTTTGCTAGTTATTGTAGAAACCATAAAAACATTTAAATTTGGGAATTTCCTTTTTTTTAAGGACCTATATGGTACAGGATTTACCTAGTCATCATCACATAAAACTGTGTGTGGAAAAAAATGTCCCCACTTCTTCCCCCACACAGAACTATTCTTGTCTGCCTCACTTCTTAGAGGATCCAGTCCAGTATGTGATTTCAGGCTGCCCAGAGAAACAGATGATATTTGGAAATTAATTAGGGCCTGGTCTTGGTAGGAGCTGTAGGACTAGCACTACAGATCTCAGTTGAACTAGGAAATCAAGAAAGAGCTAAAAAGGAGAGAGGAGTCATCATCATTTGGCTAAGACACCCCTTTCTAGGTATTCTTTGCATACATCTGTGTACAATTAAAAAACATTGGAAGAAGCTCACTCTGTTAGAAGATGTATGACACAGCAGGGAAGGCTGAGAAGGCCATACTAGGTGTTCAGATAACAGGACCATTATATTTTTCTCTGATTAGATCTACCACAGACTTTTGGCCCGGACACTGAGCTCTTTCATACCACCTCTGAGCCATTATGGTGGCACATTTGGGAGAAAGGAAAAAGAAGCATTGGCAATAATCTCAGAAACCAGTGGGCAGGATTCTTCACTTTCAGCAGTTCACCACCAGTGCAACTTATTGACTTCAGCAGAACTGCCGCTGATTGTCACCAGTGCAAAGTGAGAGGAGATTGAGGCTTTATATGGTTTATGTTTTAATAAATTTGGTATAGTGTACATACAATTCTAAGTTATTCCAGAGGAATTAGAGTGGGAAGGACGATGAGTATCTATTTTGGAAGAAGAGAAAGAGGACAAAAATTAAAGTTATTTAATAGAAAACTGAGAGGTATGAAGAAATGTTGCTAAACTAGCTCGAAAGGAGGCATGTATGTAGCACAGCTGACAGCTCTTGTTAGCTGGATCCTGCCAGAACATCCACGGCAACATGCATGAATCAGCAGGCAAAGGGGCTTTAGGTCTATTGACGTCGGTCTGTATAATCAGGGGGAGAAAGTGGAGAGAAGATACAGGAGCAACAGACAAAGAAAATATAAAAGAAAGTGGGGGAGGGAGAGAGAGGAAAGGAAGGAGGGACAAAAAAGGGAAAAGAAGAAAGAGGGGGAGAGCCCTCTTATAGGGGCAGAGAGACTAAGAGAGATTGAGGAGAGAGCGCCTGTATTTTCTATAATTACTGTGGATTGGCTCGGATTAAGGGCAACTAGCTGTCTCTTGGTTTTTCCTTTTTATATAACAACTAATCTCATTCTAATCAGTTATTATTAAATTATATTCCATTTTTAATTCATTCACAGATCACTTGTGGCACAATTCGGACATCTGGACAGATAATTGAATAGAGATAATTTATGTAAATGAGGAACAGTTGTGTACAGAGGTGGGGGAGGGGACAGTCCAGCTCATGAGGCCAGTGACCTAATCAGGAATTTCCAAGCACTGCCACCGCTCCCAGTGAGGGCTCAGGAAGCCTTTGTGGTTTGGGCAGGCCCCCAGGTAGTGGTAATTGGGTCTAGGTCAGATCTCTGGGCTCAGGAGACCAGGCTCTACTTAGTAGCCTTTGACTTTTGACTTCTTAGGACGGGGGCTGTCTCCTCAATTTGGAGCTTGCCAGCCACATGCTGGGTGCTACCACAATCAGAACAGCACTAATGGGTGCACACACACAGTAAACCCTGATGTGCTCCACTTACTGGAGAACATAGGCACAGGCTGCATGCAGCTTTCTGAGATGACACAGTGGAACTGATGAAAGGCATGAATGGCTGTCAGCAGGCCCTGAATATCAGCCCTGTGTGCTCTGCCTCCCCCTAGCCTGGACTGCAGGCAATGAAGGAACTCTGCAGCTACCCTACATCCCCAGTGCGCCCTATGGGCTTGAAAAGCAGCATGGGCTAATGAGCTGAGCACAAGACAAGGAAACAGAAACCTCAGGGCTCCATTCCCAGTTCAGTTGCCATACAAGTCACTCAAGGACAATATTCTCAGCATGCCCCACTGCAAGGGGGCTGTACGAGTTAAGGTTTGTAAATATTTTTTGTATTATTTTTAAAGGAGCCAAATAGCCTAATCCACTGGAGCTTACTGGCTAAAACCAAAGCCTGTCCAAACCTGATGGTTGAGTTGCCTTTTGCAAGGTGCAGAAAACTCAGCCTATTATTGCTTTCTTCTGGAAGACAAAGCTAGAGAGGAGGTGCCTTGTGACAACTGGAGAGTGAGCACAACATCTCTGGGGAAAGTTAGGTATATGTTCCCATCCCAGGCTGGGGTAAACTTTGACAGAAAGAGCCGGGGCATTATTTCACACTCTGTGGGGAACTAAGTTCCTTGAAGCCATGGCATTGGGACAGAATGTCTCATAGTTGGACTGGGCTTGGATAAGAGTCACAGCCTGTCCAAACTCTCAGTGGACCATCTTTGTGAGAGACTGGGTTTTTCTCTACAGCATGTTTTTCAAATTTCAACTTGGGTATGAACTTTCTTCCTCCTGTAAAATGGGCCCTGTGCTCTCCAGCAGACATTGCTGTCTTCCCCACTGCCTGTCTAAAACCTTTGTGTAGTGTTGCTGTCCCGTTTTTGAGCAGCAGCCTCATAGGATCCTGCATGTCAAGAGAAGGAGAGCTTATACCAGTCCCAGCCTACACAGTTTGTAAAGTGCTTTAATATGCTTTGTGATAAATACAGGAGATGACCTATAAGAAAAACAATATAACAAAAAGGGAAAAGAGGAAAATGTCAGGATTTCAATATAGAGTCATAGAGTCATAGAAAACGAGGGTTGGAAGGGACCTCAGGAGGTCATCTAGTCCAACCCCCTGCTCAATGTAGGACCAGCCCCAACTAGATCATCCCAGCCAAGGCTTTGTCTAGCCAGGTTTTAAAACCCTCCAAGGATGGAGATACCACAGCTTCTCCGGATAGCCTGTTCCAGTGTTTTACTACTCTGCTCATGACAGTTTTTTTTCTAATATCCAACCTAAACTTCCCTTGCTGAAACTTGAGACCATTGCTCCTTGTTCTGCCACCACTGAGAACAGTCAAGCTCCGTCCTCTTTGGCACCCCCTTCAGGTAGTTGAAGGCTGCTATTAAATCCCCCTCAGTCTTCTCTTCTCCAGACTATATAAGATCAGTTCCCTCAGCCTCTCCTCAGAAGTCATGTGCCCTTGCCCCCTAACAATTTTTATTGCCCTCCTCTGGATTCTCTCCAATTTCTGTGCATCCCCCCTCTGGGTCTTCTCCATTTTTTTGGGTGGGGGGGGGGGGGGGGGGGGGAGCGCACTACACAGTACTTCAGATGTTTATATTGTAAATGTATAAATAAAATCCCTAAGGGATTTGCCATGTGTTAGGTGCTCTGCAGTAACTGCCCATGATCACTCTTTTTTCCCCTTCTGAAGATGGCTGTAGCCACTTCCTCCATAACACATACCTCTAAGATATCTAAATATAGCAAAAATCAAAACCATATAAGCCTAGAATAACAGATTTTTTTTCTCTCTCCATAATCCAGGAACACAGAACTGTGAAACTGTGTATCTATTTTAAATTCTGCTTCTACTGCAGAGCAACTACATTGTCTTTCTTAATTTCTTTTGACTAT